TTAGGCCTACCCTGCCTACCTGGAACCGGGCCCTAACTGGGGCCCGTGTGGCTCAGAATGCCACACTTACCTCTCCCTCCGCCATTTCTGTCTCCCAACTCACTCCTTCAGTTGCCTTCCACTAGCCAAAACTCGGTGAGACTATCAGCAGCTGAGAGACAAAGTATTGTCTCAGTCACTCACACAGAATCATCCCTGCATCTACTACTAAGTCAGGAAGGCCTGGCCTGGCGGGGGACCTCCGTGAGCTTTTTTTTTTGTGATTGTTACTCAGCCTCGCCGAACAGTCACTCTGATTCTGAGTGGCGATCCCCTCACCAGTTCAGCTCTTTAGTCAGCAGATGTGACCCCGCGTCCTTCATTGGGCTACCAACCATGGCAGCACTGCAAAGTTAGAGCTGGGAGACACCATGCTGTCGTCTTCTAATTAGGAGGGAGGTGTGGTGTCTCTTCAGTGTGCATAGTGTAGTGTTAGATGCAGTGCTACGAAGTAGTAAAATACGAACTCGGGAAATTGAGTCTGCACTTGATGGAGAGGGAATTCGGGAGAGGGCTTTCTCTCTGCTCTAACTGCAGTTGTAGTCCAGATGAACAACGAGGAGACTTATACTTCACTTTTGGTTTCCTGAGTGCCACTTAACAATTCACTTAACGTGGTTAACCATGGATTCGTTGTGTTCAGTTTTACTGCACTGTTGAGTTCCCATTTTTGCAGAGTCTAGAAGAGAGCTGAGTCTGTACTAGTCCTGTGCCTGTATGGCAAACACCTCACTATTTATCAAACAGGTCAAGAGTTCCAATCCGATGGTTGAAAGAATGTTAGGGGCTACCCCTGGTTTAAGAAATAAAAAGTTGAGAGCTCGGTCAGGCTGCAGTGCGCAACATGCTATCAGCCACTGCAAACTGCTTTATACTTCCTCCAGCACAGTTTTCAGTCTCAGTTCATAGTCAAATCTAACTGTGTAATCTGATGTGGTTAGGGTTCTTCTTGAGGATTTGTGCAACCAACTCCATTCCCTTGGGTCATGAGACAGGGGAATTTAAGGAGGCGAAGGCCATCAGACAGTCAATTCTCCGGGAACAAGCAATTTCTGGTATCGTTTCTCTGACTTGCAGGTGGAAGATAACCCAGACTGCTGCACCCCACAATGGATACGGAGCCATGCCCATAGGGTCCTGTTTCGATATTTGAAAAAAGGACAAAACAAGAAGAGGAAGAAAGAAGATTTAATTCACTGTCTCATAACCTGCAAATTTGCTACTGACTTATGGGCGAGAGCCTCAACACTCTGGGACTACCTCTTTCCCTCCTCCCTTCCCGAACACCCGATCCAATTACTTTTATGGACTAACATCCCAGCTCAATTTACTAAATCTGAACGCATTTGGTTCGGGATAATCAGGAAGGTAACACTTTGGGTCATTTGGAAGGAGAGGTGCTGCAGGACCATCGACAAGTCAAGCAACCCGAGTGATCAGATATGGGCAACGGCGAAATATCTAATAGAGACAGAGATCCGTTGCCAGTGGAGGAAAGTCACACTCCAAATCCAGCAGGACCCGGAGAAGCAGCAAGAGATGATATCAAAGTTCAGGAGAATTTGGCTGGCCCACGGAAAGATTGCGGAGATTCACGGATCGCAAATCAGATGGAAAGACTGGCATAACTCGGTGGCTGCCCAGGGGACACGAAATTCACATTGTAACCAACATCATGACTTCAGAGCAACCTGAGATGATCCATTGTTATGTCAGCTCTGATCTCTGTTTTCCTTGCTTTATCGTTGTACTAACAGATCCCCCGCAGAGGGATTAGAGAAGGGATCTGAGAGGGGACTCACGGATAGGCAAGCTGACAGTCAATCCTCCAATCTTCATTACCATTCAGGAACCTTTCGAAATTCGGTCAAGCCGGTATCCCAGCAGAATACCCAGGTACTCGAGGAACCAGCTCCAATCTGTGCCTCAAAGAACATCCAAGAGACACGCGCGACAGGCGGCAGCCGATGTGTCACATGGAACACATGCAAAAGGATTAATCTTCTTTAGGGTTTAGGGTTTAGGGCTGAGGGTTGGGACAGAAACAAGACAAGCAAGGGCTAAAATACAAAAGAGTTCACAATGCTTAAGTGCAGGGCTGAGGGTTTTGACAACAGTGTTAGCAGATGTTGCTTCTTAGACCTTTCTTGCTTTACACGTGTTATCTGACAGGTTCTTAGAGTAGTTCTGAGAGGAAAGGTGTAAACAGGGCAAGCTGACAGTCAATCCTCCTCGATGTTGGAGTAATCAATGCTGATCAGGGTTCCTTCGACCAGACGGAAGGAAGCGTGGGTGAGTTCTATGATGTAAGATTCTCATGACTCGCCAGTGGAAAAGGAACCGGACTGATGCTCCCCAGAATGGAAATGGAGCCAGGGCCATAAGGACCTGTTTAAAAAAAAAAAAAAAAAGAAGAAGAAGAAGAAGAAGAAGAAGAAGAAGAAGAAGAAGAAGAAGAAGAAGAAGAAGAAGAAGAAAGCCTGCCTGGTTGTACGAAAAACGAAGCAGGAACAACAGAGACGTGAGAGAGCAAAACTGCGTCATGTGCACGGAAGGAGTACCCGAAACACTGCTTCACTGCCTTCTGCTCTGCCCGGAAGCGGAGTATATTTGGTCTATAGCTCGAACCCTGTGGGATCGCATCATGGGACTTTCATTCCCGAGGAGTAAAAGACTCCATCTTACAGGAACTGAAGTCCCAACAGGTTGGAACTCAAACCATAAGTGCATTTACCACTTACTGAGACAATACACATTATGGACAATATGGAAAAGAAGATGCCAACAAGTGTTAGGTAAAAGCCTGTCAACTAGAATGGAAGCTAGAGCAACACTATATAATCTACTACAGACGGATATTATAGCTCAATGGCAGCGAGCCAAGAAACAGGCAGCGGCTAATCCTGAAAAGGCGAAGGACATTCTCAACAAATTCCATAACAAAGTATTGGTGGAAGGTAAAATAGCCACAATGGAGAGGCACAGGCTGATCTTCTGTTGGTTCAGAGAAGACCAACAAGCCATGACAAACGGACACCAGGGGCAGACACAGCAACTGGCTTCACCATGAACAAGGGAAGTCAAAGCTTAGAAGGGCGAAGGTCAAGAGTGAAGTGCAAGCAAAGGATCACAGGTTAAGACAGAATCGCAAACGGCGGACCATAGCAAGAAGCAAGGCAACTTTGGAGACTAATGGCATTGAGATGAAAGGGAAGGGTTCACAGCAAAGGATCATTGGAGATTATTGGCAATGAGAAAAAAGGAAGATTTCAGGTAAGGAATCTAAGGATACTACAAATTAATGAGTCTGCAAAGTAAGCAGACCTCTAGAGGAATACAGGTAGGCTTAAAGGTTTAAGGAAGTAGGGTTTAGGGTTTAAGGAGATAACACTCAGAAAACATTGCCGGAAAGAGAGATTCAAGCTTTGTCTGGCAAAAGTCAAGGGAATACAAATGTGGTTATGGCAATAGGGACCACATTCCAATGCAAGGAGGGTGCTAAGGTAGGTACTTGATATTCATGAATTATATGACGAGGTTACTATGGGTAATCTGAGAGGAAAGAATAAGCTGGGTTTACGAGTTCAACTGCGGGATGATGTAGAATAGGCAAGCTGGGTTTACGAGTTCAACTGCGGGATGATGTAGAATAGGCTAACTTAGGCAGGGGGGAGGGGTGGTATATCCTTCATTATGAAAGTAATCAATGCCGCCCATTCGGACCTTCCACCCATAATGGGGCGGAGCGTGTATGAGTACTTTTTGTAATCAATTATGACTTGCCGGGGGAATAGGAACCGGACTGTTGCTCCCCAGAATGGCAGGAGTCAGAACCGACAGGTTCTGTTTTTAAAAAAAAGGAAAAAAAAAAAGAAAAAAAAAAGAAAGAAAAAGAAGCAGACATGACAGCAGATATACAGGTAGAGCAGTGGAAATGGGAATGGCAGCAGCACCACCAGCAGCACCAGCAGAAGCAAGAAGGAGAAGGAGAATAAGAAGGGGGAGGAGAAGTACCAAGCAGCAGGAAGAAGCAAGAAGAAGAAGTTTCCCTTTTTCCTTTCCCGTCTGGCACCACGGCCAGCCCCTGTAGTTATGACACCTGTGCCTCGGTCACGGCCGCGGTACTTGCGTTGCATTTTTGAACTCAGCGGCTGTTTGGCGTGTTTTTTTTGCCTACCCGAAACTCTGTTGTGGCATCAACGTACTTGCCCCTTTTTTTTAATTTAAAAAGGGTGACAGCCTTGAGGTATCATCAAAAAAAAACAAAAAAAAAAAAAAAAAGAAGAAGAAGAAGAAGAAGAAGAAGAAGAAGAAGAAGAAGAGGAAGAAAGAGGCTGAGTCACTGTGTTTCGCTGTTTCTTGGGTTTGCTGATATTCTGAGTTAGATCCTTGCATGAAGGGTTGAGCTGCAGGGTGGACACCTTTTATAAATTGCTGCTTTTTTGTAGCCTCACTTCATTGATCAATGTCAAATAGTCGCTGCAGTGCATCTGTCACGATTTCAAAACTATGACCGTGATATTAGCGTGGAATCGCTGTGGATCAAAAGGCAATTGCTGATGTAGTGATTTATTTTCTGGAGCATGTGCATGAGTCACATGGAGGAGGATGTTTTATGTTCAGCCATGTAAGGTTTGACCTTTTCACATTTTGAAGGAGACCATACCCATCTTGATTGTAACTTGAAAGAAGGTAATTAAATAATTTAAATTGCTAAATCACATGATACAGTCTTCGTCCTCCTGATTTTCAGTTGCATGAGTCTGTGTCAGTGTGAATTTGTATGGAAGAGGGTCACCGTTGTTAACTTCTTCAAGTTTTTTAACATGGCCTACCATGGCTACCAAAGTCATACGCTATTGCTGTTAGCTTTGCTTCTTGACATGTCAGTGAAGACTACTAACAGGGTTGAGAGCAATGGCTTGTGTTTTTCTTCATGTGCTTTCTTATTTACATGTTAGATTGCAGCCCAAGATAAGCTCATGAAGTGGGTTCGGGAGCTGGAAGAGAAGGTGGCAACACAGGAGCGAGAACTCAGTGCAGTCTCAAAGAGGTGTATAATGATACTACAATCATGTCATTTATTGTTTCCATTTGCAAAGGCGTAGGCATGCCAAGGAGGCCTCAAGAATGCACTTGCAATGGACCTCTTTCTGTTTTTTTTGGAAAAGTGTTGCTGTGTGTGAC